TTTCTTCTCTTTCTCCTTGCCCTCTTTCTTTTCCATTCTCTTTGTTTTTCCTCCTTCGTTTTCTCCCCTTTCCCTTTCCTATTCTTTTTCTTTTTTTTTAACACGTCACAACACACACACACCACACGTGTCCCATGTTTTGTTTTCTTGTCAAAAGACCAAACTACCCTTCTAACTAAGATATCTTAATTATTATTTTTTTTTCTTTTTTTTTCACTGAAAAATTACAATACTGCCCTCACAGTTACTTCGAACAGTTCAATATCATCTACCTCTCGTCCATCTTTGTTTTTTTACATAATTCAAACAAGATTATGAGTAGTGAAATATTTTTGAAGTTATGACAAGAAAAGAGATACATACAATGTTTTCTCTGTGATGTGATGTAAAAATGCGATCGTTCCTGTTGTATGACCGTACAGTACAGACGCTCGAGCTCTAGTGTTTGTTTCAGAAATTTTCTGACATATATATAATAATTAGTAGCAAAATACTTAGAATAAAACTAATTCATATCTACAATACATACCTTAAACTTCTCCATTTCCCAACAATCGCATAAACGATGCCAATCTTCATCTCGTGCAACATCTTTGTGTTTGTGATGCCGTGCTTCTTCTGGGGAATATTCCTCTTAGCGACACCGTCAATTGACGGCGTCGCTGTATATATGTTTTAGCGACATATATGTTAATATGTCGCTAAAATGTCCAGTTTGGTCGAATATTTTTTGGGTTGGTCTATTCACCCCTAATTCGGAAAAATTCCCAATGAATTATTAATATATTATATGGCATAATATGCAAATAAAGTCTCATGTTGATTAAGTAAGGGGATGATCTATGGTATATAATAGAGGATAACTATCTCAGTATGAGTCCCCTTAGATGAAACAAATAGTATTTTACGTAAATAGGCACATGATATATTATTTAAGCTATAGTATCGCCTCGACACAAAAATAAGAAACATAAACGGAAAAAACAAGTAGTTTCCAAAATTTGGTCTCTTTTTTAGAAATGTTTCTCAAAATTTAGAAGCAGTAAACGAGAACATTATCAAACGGCTTTTGTTTTAGCCATTATTTCTGTTGTCAATTGAATTTTGCCATACTGGTTTACAAGCTGCTTGTCAACAAAATTCCCTTTTTGGCCCTCTTTTCTTTTCTTTCCGTACAATCATCTATATGTAAAGCTTAGCAATGGAGGAATTGATATACTTTTCTGAAAAACTGTTTTGAACTATTTTTTCATTCTTCACTAGAGGAAATTAAATTAATCGGAAAAATTTTATGTGGTCAGAGAAAATTGGAGGAATTTTACCAATGATTTCTGTTGATGTATAAATTTGGCCTCCTAAAATAAAAGGAACCGACGAAATTTGCAAAACCAAATTGCTCTAAAAATCATCAGTGTGGCCTTAACTACACAGACTCTGATGCTTAAGTCAAAATCGGAATAGTCGAATAGGAAGAATAATGTATTTTTACATGTAGAGATTTGTAGAGTACCTTCAATGAAAATTTACTTTCTATAGGTAAAATCCTAAAACCATAACGATATCTCCTAGTTTTGAATATAGGATATATTTAAGAGGGAAATTCTAACTCCCAATAAGGGAAATTCGAACGGTAGAAAATTTTGTAGGAAAGACGAATTTTTTGTAGGATGCTATTTGAACTAGCGAATTGGAATGTACGTGATTTCAAGAAATAAACATATGCTATTTTAAGAAATCGTATCTCAAATTGGAATGTACATGATTTCAAGAAATAAACATATGCTATTTCAAGACATCGTATCTCATGTACCTAGTTTCCATGGAAATCACATACAATATATACAATTTTCAGAAAAAATCGCATACATAGGACGTGAATTTGTCAGGTTGACTCCACTCCCACTCTATATGATTTGACATGGCAACAACCCTTGATAATGACCATAGTTTCAAACTTTGAATATTTCTTATTTATTTTACATTTTTTATATTATTTTCAAATCAACATTATTTTTTAACTCTTTTTTTTTAAATAACATTACTTTTAAAATTAGCCCGGCTTCTTATTGAATAAATTAATATTAAAATGTGTGAACTAAAATCAGTATATTTTAATGTGTTTAATTTTTTCTTATGCAAATTTATGTCCCTCTTGACTTGAATTTCCAAACCCGTCACTGATTAGGAGATTATAAAAACAACAATTTAATTAAATAGTTTAAAATTTTAAAAGTCATTTATCTCACTTCAAATTCTACCTATCTGATCTAGCTAGCATTAACTCTACATTACATTTTTATTGGGTTAAATAACAGTGAACTGACGGTATTTATGGTGGAGTGTTAGCTTTTAAAATTTCAAAAGATTAAATACAAACTAAATCTAAATTTTAAGGACAAAAAAATTGTGATTTGGTATTATTATCATCATTAAAAAGTCATCCTAAGCCTTGTGACAAAATCCATCGTGCTTTAAATAAGTCATAATTTTTAGCGTTCCTAAAAAAAAAAAGTCATAATTTTTACCGACTATTTAAATGGAAGGTCTGTCCCCACTTCCCACTGGCCACTGACTTATTTTAGACCGTTGCATTGCATATCTATTCAAAATTTTTGGAAGCCCTCTTCTATGGCATGAAAATTAATTGTTTTGCTAGCAAAGTGCTTGCATGTATTTCGATACCTCGTGGACTGCAGCCTCTTTTAACATTTCCTCTATGTGTCATCAGACAATAGGCTGGGTTTTTTTTGCCAACAAAAAAGGCTGGGTTTTGGATTTTCAAAATCTTGAGACGATACGACAACCGCTGCTCAGAAAGACAAACTCGTGAAATAAACAGGCAAGACTTCTTATTGCACGGAAAAAGGGACAGAGAAAGAGAAACCCAAAGACGCAGATAGCGCTACGAAACGAAGAGACCATCGCTGCCTTCCCACCCCTCTCCAAGTTGGTCTATCTCTCTGTTTTTTTTTTTCTCTTTTTGCTTTTCTTTTATGTCTGTTTTTGGGTGGAAATGGTATCTACTTTGTTTGCCGAATCAGTTTGGTGTTTGCTACATTTAGTTTTAAAAGCACCGAAGTTCGCATTTTGAAAGTCTCGGTTAATCATAATACCCTTACATTACTGATTACACCACAGCTGATTCGGCTTTCTCGAGTCCAGAATCTCCTCCTATTTTTTGGCTTTTTAGTTTGCAGCATAGAAAAGGATTTTTTTTATTTTTTTATTTTTGACTTTAGCATAGAGAAGGGTTTATAACCGAATCTTCGCACTTCAACTTGAATATATAAACTGGGTTTTCTTTAAACTGTTTTAGTGGGGGAGGGTTCTTGTGATTTGTTAGTTAAGTGATTAGGATTTAGGGTAGCCCCCTTGCAATTGCGTATGTACATTTTTCCCTACCCAATGGCCCTCTTCATAAGCTTTCGGGGATGTCGATGCCTCTAGTTAAAGTTAAAACATAAAAATATATCAATTACTGATTCATTATGCAGTTTGAAAGCGGTTTCTGGGATTAACAAAACAAGAGTGTGAGTTTGAATTTTGAGGTGCAGACATTTGAAGAGAAGATGACGAAGAGCCGAACTCCATACTGCTGGTGGTTTGACGGTCGCCACGACACAAAACGCTCACCTTTGCTCCAAAAAACTCTTGCTGGTTAGCATCTTTATTTCCTTTACTCTGTTCATGTTGTTGCCGACCGATCTACACCTCCCACGCTCAAAGAGAAACTTGTGTTCCTTATTTTCTGAAAAAAGAGAGGGGGGGATGTTCTCAGAATTGCATCACTTATCACTACACCAATTATCCAGTAGTGTTGATCTTTTTCTTCTAGGTTGTGCATTGAAGTTTTTCTTCTGGGTTTGGCCATTTGATCTTAACCTGTAACTAATTTTTGCAAAAATAGGGCGGTTCTAACATTCAAAGAGTGATTTCGCCACGGAGTTAATTGTTTTACGTTGACATACAGATACAAAGACCTATGAATTTTGCAAAAGTAGGGTAGTAGTTAAATTGAGTAGCTACCGATTAATGTTTCTGCTTTTTCGTGAGGCAGAACTAGACCAGAGGACACTGGCAATATTAGAACTGCTCGAGGAAGATGCAGATTCATTTGCCAAACGTGCAGAGATGTATTACGAAAGGCGCCCTCAACTTATCAGCATGATTGAAGAATTTTACCGTTCTCACCGTTCACTGATAGAGCGATATGACCGAATCAAGACCGTGACCAGCTCTGGAACTTGCCAACACCTCCTCGCAAACGTGTCTTCCCCAGAAAATAAGTTTGCGCTTAGTATGGATATGAAGTACTATGCCTTCTCCGAGACGAGTTGTGATATTGACCTTGAACTTGCAGATTCTGCAGTGTCCGAAGTTGATGATCCTAATCAGGAAGATAAAGTCCTAAATGATAATGGAATCAAAGATATTGACCTCGAGAAGACTAGTTGTGATATTGACCTTGAACTCGAGTATTCTGCCGAGTCGGAAGTTGATGATCCTGAACAGGTAGATGAAGTCCTAGATGATAATGGAATCAAGGGGGGAGTTTTAGGTACGATCAACAATGTTGAAGCAAGAAAGTTGGGGGAAGAAATAGAGAGACTCAGGGAAGAGAACAGAATTCAGAAAGAACAGTTAACGCAGAAAGATGAAGATAAGAAAGAAGTGATTAGACAACTGAGTTTTGCTGTAAGTTTGCTGATGGATGACAATGCGAGGCTAAGGATGGGCGAGAATGGAACTAAATTCGCCAATGAAAGGAACCCATTTGATTCTGGTCGTGTTAAAGGAACGTTCTTAAGAAAGCTGTTTCATTGGCCTCGCATTTTCCAGTGAACTAATGTTGCTCTCTAGTTTTGTCAACAATTAACCAATGGTGTAAAGTTACAGCCTATTGATACTATAAGTATACAATAAAACGTGTTACAACATTATATTAGTAAGTAGTAACAGATGTTACCTTTATTTTTTAAATGTTTTAGCATAGTCATCTTTTCTTCCATTGTAATTCATAGCAGACAAAAAATTTGGTTTTCAAGAATCACCTTGGATTCTGATCCGGCACAAGTTGTGGCCACTTACATACTTGGCATCATCAGAATTCAGATGCAATAAAAAGGGCAGCATTTGCCATATCATTGGTTTCACAAACTGTTCCTTCTAAAGCACCCACGTCGAATATCATCTTCTCAAGTTTCTGCTCTTCAATACAAGGAAAAAGGCGACTCATTTCCTCCATAACAAATGATGTCGGGATAGGAAATGGTGATATGCAATTGACCCGGATACCGTATTCACACAACTCTGATGCCATGGATGTAACAATGCATATAATAGCGACCTTTGACACTGAGTACGTGGGTTGGGGCAGCCCAGCCCTCGGTCCTGTGACGCTAGCTGCGCAGAAAATAGACCTGATTGTCGAGGGATCATGACACGGGAGGCATGTTTGATACCAGCCAGGACTCCACGGACATTGATGTTCATGACTTTATCGAACACCACGAGGTCGAGGTCCAAAATGCTTGGAGGAGTGTTGCAAGCAACCCCAGCATTGTTGTACATGATATCTAGCGTTTTGTGTAGAGAGATAGTGTAATTGACAGCACCAGCGACATCAGACTCTTTAGTAACATGACATCACAGGGGACGAAGGCTGCGTTGGGTCCTAGCTGCTCGGCCGTCTCTAGGCCAAGTTTTTCTCTGACGTCGTAAATCACAATTTGGCTCCGTTGTTTATAAATTTGGACGCAGTTGTCTTCCAATACCGCTTGCTGCTCCCGTAACCAGTGCTATCTTGCCTTCAAGCCTGCATATCAAAAGCAGATTCTCAAAACAAAACTAGGGCCTTCAGATCTGACATTTTTATAATATACGGGAAGTTGAAAAATATAGGGGAAAAGGAGAGTACAAACATAAATTGGGAATTAGACTATAATTCAGTTCACCATCCAGCATGGGAAGACAATCCACTATTGAAGAAGCTCCAGTAAGCGAATTCTTTAAAGTGGCAACACCTTTTCTAGTTGAACCATTAGCAATACTGCGAGATGTATCAACACAAAGGGCAAAAGTATTTAATTTGACACTGCAAGATCTTGACTTCTTTGACAGCCATCAAAGTTAGACGTTTTACTTATTCATAAAAAGATAAGAAAATCGTCCTCAAATTGGGAACTGGCGGGGTTCTTATTCATTGTGTGTTTTATAAAATTTTAAAAAGAAAATATTTACTTAATGAACGAGAAAGCTGCTTTGTGTGTAATTGGCACTAGGAAGAGATGGATATACCTCAGCCCGATCCGGAACATGCTTTCCGGAAGGTCTTCCTCTTGACAGATGCACGGCAAGTTTGTTAAAGAATGTGGAGCCGGCGGGTGGTCCGTTAGTGGGGATGCTGGAGCCTCCAGGTATGATAACTTATACGGCATGACACTTTAGTCTCTACAATTAGAAAAATAGTTCTAAACTAAGGAAGTTCACTTTTTTTACCCTAAAGTTTTTGTATTGGATTTTTTACCAATTTTTAAAATATTATTTTTTTAACCCTTAACATTTTTTTTTTCAAATCTTTTAAAAGTTTGACACGTGTGTAAATATTAAAATATCCTCGTGATAACTCTGCGTTTAGACACAGTGGTCATTCAATTTGGAAAAAATAAATTACCTTTCTTAAGGCTGCACATTGAAAATTGTTGGGAAGGGAGACAAAATAAATATAACTAAAAACATTTCAGCTATTGTATTGGGCCGTGGCTTTTTTATTTTTTTGGGCCCTTTTTTTTATATTTGGGATTAGTTAGACTATAGTTGAATGCTATAAAATTTACACATTTGTTATGAAACAACCTCATTTAGGATGGTACTCGTCACCCATTTACTAATATATCCTTTAGTATTTCACCTCAATATTAATTAATTTTTAAAATCCAAAATTGACTACTTGGGAGGTTACATTTTAAATCCTTCAATTTTGTCTAATTAGAATGTCCAAAAGTGAAAAATATCAAATCTCCATAATCCTTCATTATTGAAAAAATTTGAAAACCTCATTCCTCTGACTACTCTTCTTCTTCTATCATTCTGTTTTCGTCAATTCCTTCGTCTCTTGTCGCCGTCTGACGTTCCTTCGTCTCTGGCCGTCCGTCTGTTTATTCCAAGGTTTCTTTTTTGTCGCCAGCTGCCCGTCGATCATTTGAACCCTCCGTTTATCTCGGCCATTGTCTAGTCGCCGACCGGAAGGTTTGTAGGTTATTTGCTTTATTTGTTAATTGTAGATGGATATAGTCGTATATACTTTATAGCCAGATATAGGTTATATATCCATATAATTATATGTTATAATAACTATAGTTTATACCACCATTATTAAGTGTATGTTGCTTTAAGTATTAAAATTGGGATTATGATAATAATTGAATATTTTGTAATAAATTTCATTCTTTATAGAATATATTAAGGGGTAATTAAGGAATTATGAGAATGATTGATTTAGGTCCCACAATAATTTAATGTTTAAATCAAATTTGGAATATTAATCTTTTGCATTTAAATAAAAGACAAATTATAATAAATATAAATGCCATAAATAAGGGTAAATTTGCCATTTGAAAAAATTTTTAAATCCAGAAATCTAAAATTTGTAAACATCTAACCATTTGTGAAAATAAGTTTGCAAAATAGCTTATCCAAGACATTATCTCTTTATATTTCCACGGTAGGAAGAATTAAATTTTTATAGAAGCAAAAACAAGGGCAGCGGCGGTCATTTTTACGGCAGAGAGAAGAGAGAAGAAAGGAGATATTGGACTGTAGAACGTCATTGGCAGTCCGTTCTCGCGATTCTTGTGAGGTTTTTCATTCTATATTCCTAAATAGCTATTGTTGTAGTGCTTAGAAGTTAGGTGACTATTGTTATAGCATCTAGATAGCATTTTAGAGAAAGTAGAGTCTATTGTAATCTTGGAACCTATATATTGTAGAAGACTCCAAGCTTGGAGTGAACCAGTATATTTTATGGTATTTGTTTTCTATCCCTATCTCATATTTCCTTTATTACATTGATAGAATTGTTACTTACTCATAACTGTAGAAGTGGAAAAATACTAGTTAGATAGTATTGGATTGCTCAACTAGATATATTAGTGAATATATTATATTTTTCCCCACAAATATGTGATCACGGATGAAACTTGTTAGTCAATTTTATGTTGAAATTGTTTTAAAAATGAGGTATTTTCAAAATTGCGAAGTATCTTTTTTCTTTTCTTTTATTTTTTTCTGTAATTTAGCCAATTTTATATTAAATATTGTTTATGTGGCTTTTCTCTACTTTCCTGGTTCCCAAGCCACCGCAGCATCCTTCCGGTTCGATTTGTATATAAGAAATCCTAGCGTCTACTCTGTGAATAAGAAATCCTTATGAACTGTTGTGTATCCTATTCCTATCCTAATTCCTACCCTCAACTTCTCTAAATTTTCGGCGGCCTTTTCTTAGCCCCACCGTCGACTTGCCGTAGTTGTCTTGTCCCCCAAATCCTTCTCTAAATAACGATCAATCTGCTATAGAAATTCACATTACAACTCTCGCCGACAGCAATATGATGCTCAGAATTCGCAGTAGAGACGGCCTCGAGCGAGTCGCTGTAGAGAACCCACACATTACAATCGCTCAACTCAAAGCCATAATTCAATCCCAGATGAAAATCCCAGTCCACAACCAAACCCTCTCCACTCACCAAAATATTCTATTGGCTAAGAGTCACGACGATCTTTCCAAATTTACTGACATGTCTAATCCTAATTCCCTCCTTTCTTCACTCAATCTGTCTCATGGGTCTATTGTCTTTCTTGCCTACGAGGGCGAGCGCACTGTTGCTGGACCTGCTTTCCATCCAGCCGGATCTTTTGGCCGTAAAATGACTATGGATGATCTAATTGCTAGGCAGATGCGGATCACCCGTCAAGAAAACCCGCACTGCGAATTGGTTTCGTTCGATCGGGATTGCGCGAATGCTTTCCAGAATTACGTTAATGAAACGCTAGCCTTCGCTATCAAACGTGGGGGGTTTATGTACGGAACGGTGTCACCAGAAGGCAAGGTCGAGGTAGATTTCATATATGAACCGCCACAGCAAGGAACTGAGGACAATTTACTGTTTTTCCGAGATCACGATGAGGAAAGACTGGTGGAAGCGATTGCAGTTGGGTTGGGGATGAGGAAAGTTGGGTTTATATTCACGCAGACGATTAGTCAAGACAAAAAGGACTACACCTTATCCAACAGGGAAGTACTTCAGGCGGCTGAGTTTCACTCCGACAGCGGGTTGAAGGAGTGGGTGACAGCAGTAGTGAAGTTGGAGGTGAACGAGGATGGGGGTGCTGATGTTCATTTTGAGGCTTTTCAAATGAGTGACACGTGTATTAGATTGTTCAAGGAAGGTTGGTTTGAGACGGATATTGGTGAGGATTTTGATCCCAAGCTTTCCAAGATGAAGAAGGACGTTGTTGTTGGTGTTAAAGACACTAGAGATGTTGACAATGATTTTTTCCTGGTGGTGGTTAAGATTTTCGACCATCAGGTTCGCGGATTCCTTTTATTTTACTCATCACATTACCTAATTCCTTTTATTGCGTCCAATTGGGTGTGTTTTATCTTCATAATAACCAAAATCATGCTTCTCTTTAATTAATGACTGATAATTACAAATATTGAGCTTGTTGTTGCACCCTTAGAATTCTCGGATTTCTTTAATTTTGCCTCGTATTGTGGTTCATTGGACGCACATGAAACACTGAGGGAGACAGACGACGTCTCGTTCATTTTTTTCCAGAGAACTTACTGCATACCTAGTATGACAGGAATATCATGATTAGAAGTGAACAGTCTCCTTGCTTTGTAAACTGAACGTGTTAGCTATTGGCCAGAAGGG